CCAGATTTGATCCTGGAACAGAAAAAGAACATTAGTGGAAAAACTGGTGAGATACAAATAAAGTCTATAGTTTAGCTAATAGTACTGCACCAGTGTTAATTGCTTAGTTTCTTAGTCTTAACATGATTTTGTTTGATGTTAACATTAAGAGAAGCTGAGTGAAGGGTATATGAGCACTCCATGTTCTAGCTTTACATCTCTTCCGTACATCTAACATTATTCAAAAAATAATTTTAAAAAGCGAAATGAAATAGACAACCCAAATAGGCCTATATTTATAAAAGAAATTGAATCAATAATTAGTAACATTCCAAAACAGAAAGCATCAGGCCCAGATGGGTTCACTGGTGAATACTACCAAATATTTAGAGAAAAAAATTGTACCAATTCTCTACAATCTCTTCCAGAAGATAGGAGAGAGAACAGTTCTTATTAGGTTGGGGCAAATGTAATTGCGGTTTTCACATTGTTGAAATTTGCCTTTGATATTGGAATACATTCTTAAATAAATGTGGTTATGTTATACATAATTTTAATGCTCATTTCTCACTTTACGCTTTTTTGCTAATGACTCATTACTTGCTATTTATTTTATGTGTATCTTAGACTATGAAAATGATGTTAGACAAAAAGCAAATTCGAGCGATTTTCTAAGTTCAAAATAGGTCATAAAGCAGCGGAGACAACTTGCAACATCAACAACACATTTGGCCCAGGAACTGCTAACAAACATACAGTGCAGTGGTGGTTCAAGAAGTTTTGCAAAGGAGACGAGAGCCTTGAAGATGAGGAGCGTAGTGACTGGCCATTGGAAGTTGACAACAACCAATTGAGAGCGATTATTGAAGCTGATTCTCTTACAACTACACGAGAAGTTGCCAAAGAACTCAATATTGACCATTCTACAGTCATTTGGCATTTGAAGCAAATTGAAAAGGTGAAAACACTCAATAATTGGGTGCCTCATGAGATGACAGCAAATAAAAAAAATCATCGTTTTGAAGTGTCGTCTTCCCTTATTCTATGCAACAATGAACCATTTCTCAATTGGATTGTGATGTGAGACAAAAAGGGGATTGTATACTACAACTGGCGATGACCAGCTCAGTGGTTGGAACTAGAAGCTCTAAAGCACTTCCCAAGCCAAACATGCACCAAAAAATGACATGGTCACTGTTTGGTGGTCTGCTGCTGGTCTGATCCACCATGGGTTTCTGAATCCCATTGAAACCATTACATCTGAAAAGTATGCTCAGCAAATCAATGAGATGCACCAAAAACTGCAACACCTGCAGCCGGCATTTGTCAGTAGAAAGGGCCCAATTCTCCATGACAACGTCCGGCCACATGTTGCACAACCAACGCTTCAAAAGTTGAACGAATTGGGCTATGAAGTTTTGCCTCATCCACCATATTCACCTGACCTCTTGCCAACTGGCTACCACTTCTTCAAGCATCTTGACAACTTTTTGCAGGGAAAACACTTCCAGAACCAGCAGGATGCAGAAAATGCTTTCCAAGAGTTCCTCGAATCCCAAAGAATGGATTTTTTTTTTTTCTTTTGTGGAAAGGCAAGCTTTACTTCAAAGCAACCTGAAAAGAACAGTCAGGATCCACAACTACTGACTGGTAGAAGGGAGAACAGTTACATGCTCATCTGGCAGCGTCTCAGTTGGGAGTCTCACCAATTCCTGCTGATCTCCAAACACTTGCTCAGTTTCCGGTTTAGGTTGAAACTAAAAAGACAGACTTGAAGATGCCAGTGATGTCTTTGTTATCCAAACACATCTATTTCAGGAAAGAGGACAACTGGAGGCAACATAACTGAGGGATTCTGTTTATTAAAATAAATATTTACTTTGAAATACAGTTAATTTAGTAGCTTTCCTCACATTTTTACATTTTAAAAAGAGCCACAGAGGTCTCATTCATGTTTTAAGCAGTTGAGTTGGTAAAGATCCTGTCTCCATTTCACAGGAAATGGATTACATTCAATTACTCCTCACAACCGCCAACTGGAAGATTATTCCATTACTTTTGAAGGACTGGTTGGCAGCCAAATAAATGAGGCTTCTATGTAACATGTGTTGGTACTGGACACACTCATTCACCGGGTCTTTGTTCTGATACTCCACGATACAGCAGATCAGCTGGTCATTCTCCAGGAGCTGCTGGATTGTCTCCTGATGTACGCCTTGCCTCTCAACTAGTCGGGTACGAAAGCTACCAACATTCCAGGAAGCCAGGTTGGCACCCAGTCTCAGGCCCCACACGTGTAGACCAGAGCCAACCACATCAGCTCCACATGACCCTGAAGCACGGATTTTTATGCTATAGAAATAAACAAACTTATTTCTCGTTGGCAAAAATGTGTTGTCATGGTTCCTATTTTGATTAATAAAGATGTGTTTGAGCCTAGTTATAATGATTTAAAAATCATGGTCTGAAACCACAATTGCTTTTGCAACAACTTAATAATTCATTCTATGAGGCCAGCATACCAAATACCTAACACCAAAACCAGACAAAGACATTTCAAGAAAATTACAGACCAATCCCTCTCATGAACATAGATGCAAAAATCCTCAACAAAATATTAGCAAATCAAATCCACAATGTATAAAGAGAACTATCCACCACAACCAAGTGGGATTTATTCCATGTATGCAAAGCTAGTTCAACATTTGAAAATCAATTAATGTAATCCATCACATCAACAGGCTAAAAGGAAAAATCACATATTTATATCAAGAGATCCAAAAAAAGTACTTGACAAAATCTAACACCTACTCATAATTAAAAGCTCTTAACAAATTAGGAATAGAGGAGCTTTCTCAACTTTATAAAGAACATATACAAAAAAACAAACAAACAAAAACCACACAGCTAACATACTCAAAAGTGAGAGACTAGAAGCTTTCCTGCCAAGATCAGGAACAAGACAAAGATGTCCTCTCTCACCACTTCCCTTCAATGTTAGTCCTAGCTAACACAGTCAAGACTGACACTACTTGACTTCAAGACTTACTATAAAGCTACAGTAACCAAGACAGTGTGGTATTGGTGAAAGAATAGACAAATAGCTCAGAAGAGAACAGAGAACCCAGAAAGAGATGCACAGTCAACTGATTTTTGACAAGGAAGCAAAGGCCATACAGTGAAGAAATGATAGTATTTTCAACAAATGGTGCTTAATAACTGGACATCCACATGTAAAAAAAAAAGTGAAATGGGAAAGCTTTCTTGAAAGATTACCATGAAGGTCACCTGTGACAAGAATAAGTACCCAGCAGGATCTCTGACACTTATTAAGCTCTCTCATTAATGTAATGGGTGGACTTCAATATTCCTAAGTAACCATCTCCACAAGTTTCATATAAGGGTACAAATGTTTCATGCCAGTCACACCAGCCCTGCCAATATGCTGCACAGGATGCAATATTGAAGGTACCATGAGCACACTGACTTCAGGGAGCTCTGCAGCCCCTTGACCTTGTGGGTATTTTCCGCAATCCTTCTTGTCCCTAGCCAAAGTGAGGCCCTTCCTGCAGAGGTCAGGCCAGAACTCTCATTTGAGGCTCTATTAGACAGGAATAAAAGGACACGTACACAGTAACATAAAATTAGGTTATCTAATTTACATATATTTATCTTTATTCCTTCACTTCCATGACTATGAGACCCACAGCTCATCCAGTGGATTTGAACTGACCCACATACCAGCACTTTCTTTAGCTTTCACAGATAAGCAAAGCCAAAATCCACTCTTTTCACTTATATGACTTAGGACTATTTACTGTAAATTCTTGGAAGTTAGTCCATTTTAGAGCTCTCATCCTAAAATAAAAACTCAGATGGTTGAAATGTCTAGTTTTCAGGAAGGATACTTTATTGGAGCACCATTTAGATTGTCTTACAGAAGTTTTGTTATTTAATAGCTGCCAATCTTGCTTTTAATTTATAAATGTGGTTAGTTTCAATGTTAACTTTTTTGTGGGTTGTTAACCTTATATTGGATAGTTTCCCATAACTCTAACGGCAGTAGTTTGGGACTCTGATGTTCTAATTGACTTTAGGCCATGCATACATTGCAATTCAAATATGAATCATGCATAACCCTATCACTAAGAGACATGAAAGTTTCTCCCCAATTTTACAGAAGTTCATGGTTCTTTTTCCACCAAAAAGTAGGACCATGTCAGCTAATGGAGATCACGAGGACCTTGGCCTCATCTAAAGGAGCTTCGGCCCCAAGTTTGAGAGCCACTGACCTCCACTGCGGACCCCTACACCATGGACATTCCCTTCTGAATTCAGCATTATGTCCTAAAGATAGCAAGCTGGTTTGCAGTTCTCCACTATCCAGCGATCTTGCTGTCCAAAGCATGTTTTGCTGAGGACCTACCTTTTCCCAGGTGATCGGAACTAGGTCCATCCATTCCTTTTGAGCCACCTCTGCTCACAGGGGTGTGGTGTGCCCTCCAGCCACAAGACAACATTGCAGAACACACTGCAGAAGACCCCCACACACACACCAGGCTCACGCACACGCAGTGTGTGGACATGACCTTGGTTCCAGTGCAGGTCTGGAGGGAGGGCTCACCAGCTCAACACAGTTTGAAAGCTGTACCAGTGGCATGCCGTCCTGAGCCAAGGGTACAAATGATTCAATGGTGCCGAGAACTGCCAAAGCCCTACAACATGCCATGCAAAACAAACAAGGTCATTCTGGGCCAGCAAGAGAAAAGGAAAATAAAGGGGAAATCAATACTTGAGCCACGTCAATGGGTAGGAACTTTCAAGTCAGGTAGACTGTGAACCCTCCAGCTGTGGAGCCTTGAGTACATCTGGCCCAGAGCAGGCACCAACAGACACTTGCCAGATGAGTGAGTGCTGCGTGATACCCTCTGAGCCAGTTTCCTCATCAGCAAGACGAGTGTTTTTTTCACCTTGCAGAATAGAGTAAGACAAGACATAGTGCTAAGGAAAACAGGTAAGACGTGGTAGGTTAGGTACCAGGGTTCTTTAGTTCTGCCTAACCTGGCAGGTACGTTTTCACATCAGGAACAGGTCTAGCACCAGGCTGCGGGGGGAGGCGGGGGCAGGGGCCGGGCCAGGCACTGAAGCGAGGCCGGCCGGGTAGAAGCCAGTTCCTGGTGGTTGCTGGGCAGCTCAGACAGCTCCCTGCCATGGTCTTCCCTCTGCCCTGGTTCTCCAGATGCAGCCGCCGCCTCCTCCTGCCTCCCTGGCCCCTGGCCTCCCAGGGCTCTCAGAGGTGCTGCTCCCAGAACCCCAAGTCAAGCACAAATGAGCGGACCAGCTCTACAGGCAGTGGGAAGATGAGGTCCCCCACCAGGGTAAGTAGCACAACCAGTGGGGGCGGAGGGCGCAAGGGGAGCTTTGTCCTGGGGTCCAGGGGAATCCCGTCTCATCCTGCACCACAGACTGAAGAGCAGACACCAATCCAGATCGCTGGAGTTTATTGCCTAGCCCCAACCGTCAGCTTCCCAGCACCTTCCCACCCCCACACCACTTCAAACCCGAGATCCCTCCCAGCACCCCTCCCTTCCTGTATAGTCCACTAAGTCCTTGAACAGGAATTTCCCTTCATCTAACAGTTAATTATTAGTGGGGGGAGGGGGAGGGGCAGCCAGTCCTCTCCTTCCCATGACCACATATCCTTGTACAATGGGCCCAGCCCACTTATAGCCCCTGGACCAGTGACCCCTGTCTCCCTAGAGGCCTATGCCAAAGACAGCAAGTATCCTGTATTTGCAGTATAGATGGCTTTAGACTAATGGGGTCAAAAACAGGAGCGGGGGAATTCCTGACTTCCGGTGAACTTCAGCCCAGGCCCTGGCTGATGGCCCTCCCCCATCACCCCCTCCCCCAGGGCCCCCAGCCCAGCGGCACAGATGAGCTGGCACAAGCTGAGGAGTTGCTGGAGCAGCAGCTGGAGCTGTACCAGGCCCTGCTCGAGGGGCAAGAAGGGGCCTGGGAAGCCCAGGCCCTGGTGCTCAAGATCCAGAAGCTGAAGGAACAGATGCGGAGGCACCGAGAGAGCCTGGAGGGAGATGCCTAAGCCTCCCAGTTCACACCTCCCCTCCAGCACTGGAAATACTGCACACCACCCGCCGCCATGAGCCCTGCGCTCAAAAACAGACCAGCCTCTCCCAGGCCACTCCGAACAGGACACGCCTCCCCAAATGACGGGGAAACAGGGAAGCAGTTACCTCTGCAGTCTTTTCAGCCACGTCCCCACTCTGACCCCTCCCACTGACCTCAACTCCATAGCAAGGTATTCAGTCCTAACAGGAATATACCCCGAACTTCACCCTAAAATAACCTCACCCCAAATCCAATAAAGGGAAGGAGTGTTTACAGACACCACAGACACATGTGTTTTTTAGTTTTGTTAAAAAAAAAGTTCTGACAAATCAGGAAATGGGGGTTTAGAAGTGGTGATGCAAAAGGAGGGTGGGGTGGGGGTTTGGGGGTTGTCAGGGGTAGATGGCAGTAGTGTCTCCTTCACCCCCACACCTGGTGTCGTCTCCTGAAGAGGAACAGACTGTCACACATTCCAGAATGGGTGATGAGTCCTCTACCGTGTCTGTTCAACTGAAGAGAAAATATGGCAGTTAGAATAAGACATGAAAAAGAAAAGGTGAGGCTGGCAGAAACACACATGCCCATTAAGTACAGATGTTTGTGTAGTATGAGGGTCCAGAGCATAGATTTGGAGGTGGAGAAAGGGAAAAAATATGACAAGAGACCCCATACACAAGTCTACTAAACATCCCAACACAGCATTGAGACCAGGGGGCGTGAACTGGTCAGGTGCCCAATGTGTACTAGGGGCTTTACAGACATGATGGGATTTTAAGAGCCACACACTAAGGAACAGAAGACCACAGAGGTGGGAAGGTCAAGTCATGAGATCAGTACTCACTGTAGGAGGAGATGTCGATCTCCTCGGGCAGCTCACTAATATTGACCTCAAAGCGGTCCTGCACGTCATTCAGGATCTTGGCATCGTTCTCATCTGACACAAACGTGATGGCCAAACCCTTGGTGCCAAATCGGCCTGCTCTGGCCACCTGGAAGATGACAGAGGGGAAGGCTAAGATGGAGACCCCCAAAAGGAGGGATGAGGGTGGAAGGTAGAAAGGTACAGAAATGCAGGGTGGGAGGCCCCTGGAGCCTGTGGGCCTACCCGATGCAGGTAGGTGTCGGAATCCTCGGGCATGTCATAGTTGAAGGCAATGTTGACCCGCTCGATGTCCATGCCTCGGCCAAACAAGTTGGTGGCCACAAGAATCCGTCGTTGAAAATCTTTAAACTGCTGATACCGAGAAAGCCTTTGTGAGAAAGGAAATTAGAAAAATATTGAGGGCTGGCCGAGTGGCACGTTGGTTAAGAGTTGGCTTGAGGGGCCAGCTGAGATGCTCAGTTGGTTAAGAGCTTGCTCAAGAGTGCGAGCTCTGAGCAAGAGCGGTTCTATTCCCGGCCCGAGCTGAGTTGCCAACAAGTGGCAGGATGGCTCTGCTAGGAAAAAAAAAAAAAAAAAGAGTTGGCTTGGGACGCCAGCTCTGAGCACAGCAGGGCCCTGGTTCAGATCCAACATGAGAGCCAGTGACACTGCACTCTCTACAGCTAAGATGGTGAACAACCACCTGGGGCTGGGTTGCTGTGAGTCGCCAGCGACGGCGTAGGCTGCAGCCCCTGTGGCAGTGGGTTGCCATGGGCTACCGCGTGTAGCCAGCAGCCAGCGTGAGCGGCCAGCAGCTGGCGTGAACAGCCGTCTAGAGGCAGGCGACCGACCTGCCTCACCCAGGAAAAGCACAATGATGGTGCCAACTTGGGCCAGTGAAGCAACGTCCTCCACAACTAGACTGAAGAACAAAAGGACAGCAACTTTTCTGTCCCCCTTCCCCAATTCCCCAGTGCTGTTCCCCTCCCACAATTTCCCAATAAAATCTTTAAAAAAAAAGAAAAATGTTGAGTCTCTCTCCTCTCAATGGTCTCCTTTCCTCCCAAGGACACGGACCATCCCCTCTCCAGCTCACCGCTCCTCCTGGGGCATCCCGCGGTGGATGGCGATGGCCGGGAAGTTCTGCTCCACCAGGAGCTGCGCCAGGGCGATGCAGCGCTGCACAGACTTCACAAAGATCACCACCTGTGCGTGTGGGGGGTAGGTGCATGTGGTGTGAGGGTGAGCATGTGTGCACGAGGGTGAGCGTGTACATGTGGTGCATGTATGTGGTGAAAGCATGTATGTGTATGCGTGCATATGTGCATGTGTGTGGGGGGAGGTCCGTGTTGGTGTGAGAGGTTAAGTTTTCAGTAATTACACTCTTCTTAAAAAACTCCTTAAGTCCCTGTCATTTTTCCTCTTCTGCTCTAAATATAACTTGACCGTAATTCTAGAAAGTAGTTTTTAGTGCAACTGAATCACTAACAGGTAGAGTGAAGGACCACTTCTCCTCAGTCAATACCACAAGGAACAAATTTAAAAACCTAACAGGATCAAGATATTTCAGGACTTCAATCTTGTTAGAACACTTTAAAGATTTTTTTTTTGAGGTTTATTTTATATGCTGCGATTTTTACTTACTGAGTACCTGTCTGCCAGTGATGGAACAGAAAAGCAGTTCCCATCTTACTCATGCTCAGCTACAAAAGACATTTACATTCTTATTTTTAAAATGAAGGCTTTCTCTACCATTCTCACATCACATATGTGGTTTCCTTAATAACAGAGTAGTAGGGGCCAGCCGAGTGGCTCAGTTGGTTAAAAGCTCGGTCAATCAAGAGTGCGAGCTTTGAGCAACAGGGTTGCCAGTTCGATTCCCACAGGGGTAAGCGAGCTGTGCCACAGCTGAGCTGTCAACAGGGATCAGCTGCTGAGAGAACGTGCTCCTAACAACAAGGTTGCCTGTTCAAGATGGTGAGCTACGCCCCATCCGCAACTAAAAACTAAACTCGGCACCTTGAGCTGAGCTGCCACCTGGGTGGCTCAAGGGATAGAGCACACGCTCTTAACAAGGCTGCCGGTTCAACTCCCGCATGGGATGGTGGCTATACCCACCCAAAACTTACTGAACACAGCACCTTGAGCTGAGCAGCACGACTGGACTTGGAGCTGAGCTTGCTGTGCCCTCAACTAAGATTGGAGGACAACTTGGCTGTTCCCCTCCCCCAATTCCCCAATAAAATCTTAAAAAATAATAAAATAAAAATTACAGGGTTGTAAACACAGGTTTCTGCTGCAGTTGGAGACATGTTCAACCCTCCGCTGGAATTTGAACAACTGACCTGGTTGAACTCAAGTACATCCAGAAGGTCAAAGAGCTTCCGGTTCTTTTCGTTGTCCTTCAGTTTCACGTAGTACTGCTGCAACCCATGCAGCGTCAGCTTCGTCTCATCATCCACGAAGATCTCCATTGGCTGGGGGGGATGGGGAGGAGAGAGAAGGTTGAAAACTTTACCCCACCCTCCAAAACACCCACATTTGAATATGGTCTCTTCCACATTAGATCTAACTTCCTTCCTATCAGTGGAGTTCTAAGACTGCCCAACTGAAAATTGTTACAGGAAAGGAACTTTAAGGGAGGAAAAGGAGCAGCGAAACCACCCCGAGGCAAGATGCCGTATCTCAATTGGAGGTGGTGACAGAAAAAACAATGGGAGAAGGTTCTCAAAGCGAGAGTATGACCCATACACCTGAGAAATGACTGGAAATACTGACTCGAGGTCAGAATAACTCGGTTAAAGAGTAAGTTTAAGAATATGGGGGATCGGGGCCGGCCAAGTGGCTCAGTTGGTTAAGAGCACAAGCTCTGAGCAACAGGGTCGCCAGTTCAATTCCAACATGGGCCAGTGAGCTGCGCCTTTGAGCTGCCAAAAGGTGGCAGGATGGCTCAGCTGGTAAGAGCACATGCTCCTAACAACAAGGTTGCCAGTCTGACTCCCACATGGGATGGTGGGCTACACCCACCCACAACTAAGATTGAACACAGCACCTTGAGCTGAGCAGCTGCGAGCTGCCAACAGGCGGCTGGATGGCGACTGGACTTGGAGCTGAGCTAGCTGCGCCCTCAACAACTAAGACTGAAGAACAACTTGGCTGTTCCCCTTCCCCAATAAAATCTTAAAAAAAAAAAGAATATGAGGCAGAAGACAAGGATTGCTCCATTTAGTATTCTCTCAACTAGGAGAATCTTATCTACGTTAAGAAGGTGGAATGCTACCATGGACATAAATCAAAACGCCATAAGAGAAACAAAAATTACTCAGGATGAGTAACAACTTGCCCTCGACAACAAGGGTCTAGTTTAGATGAGACTGGTCTCTGCACCAAGAATCAAACCATCTACAGTGTGACTTGGGAAGTATCAGTAAGTGGTGCTAAGAAATTCAGAGTTGCAAATATACTTTAAAACAAACAAAAAAACCACACAACCCTTGGAGGGAAGGAAGGTAGCATAAAAAAAGACATAAACTGGCACAAGGCCCAACTCCAGAGCCCAAGTCTCCTATCACTCTTCACTAACGAGAACAGTGAATGTCAAGATCTAGGCTCCAGGATTTTGAGAAAGGATCTGCGTGCCATGGGAGACAACCAGAAGCCAATTGCAGAAGGCCGGCTTTCCAGAAAGGAGCTCCGTGGCCTCCTTCCAATCTAACTGTAGCCCCAAATATCAGGGGTTATCAGCCCATGAGAGGAGCAGAGCAGGGAGGTAAACAAGCTCCACCACTTATATGACGGGCCCACCTAGCCCCAAACCCTAACACCCACCTGGTTACATCCAAGTGGAGCTCCTCACTTTACCTTCCCTATACCCCTCTCCCCCGAATATTAAAAAGAAAAAAATCTACCACCCCATTCAGGACACCCCTCCCCACCCAACACATATAGGGGGAAAGGAGGAGCACGGCACGCCTTGGGTTCAGGAAAAAAACCGGGAACAGAAAAAGAGGCTGGTTTGGTCCTCAGCTTCCTGGTCAGGTTGCCTGCGGCCTCCGCTGCCGCCATCCACCGCTGGGTGCCGTCTGCATTCGCCCGCCGCGCCACGGTGCTTCTCTGCTGCCGGCTCACGTCAACCGAGGTTCCAGGTGAGTGTGGGTGCGAGGAGGTGCAGGTGGGAAGGAGTAGGGATCGGGGATTGAGGTGCCAAAGGCCCCCACCCCTGGAGGTGGGGAGGGAGCAGATTCATTTGTGCTGTTTGCTCTTCTTTTGGACATGCCCTGCCATCTGTCTGTCCCTCTCTCGCTCTCCTGCCACCGGGAGGTTATGAGTTTTGGGGGGCAGAAGGCTCCAGTTGTATGCTTGATGCCACCTTGAGGGTGCGTGGCTGTAGGGGATATGTAGGAGATGATGGGTGGGTGGTAGGGCAAAAAAATTCTGCCCTCCCCCAAAGGGAAGAGGTTCAAAAATGCTGTGATTTAAAAAAAAAAGTCGAACTCTACCCGCTCTCACGTTAACCCGACCAAGTCTTCCGGAATTTCCCTGGCACCCGCGCAGACCCTGACACTAGCTGGCTCTGCCTCTGTGTGTCTTCAAGGAGTCATTACTCCCAGATGGGCACGTGCCCCTTTCTTGATGCTTGAAGGACCAGGGAGTCTGGAGGAAGTGGGCACGGAAGGGGAAGAGGCAGTGGGTGGGGAGTGGAGGAAGAGAAGGTAGAAGGGTATTTACGTCTTGCATGAACTTGCGGCACACTGGGCGGATCACTTTGCTCAAGGTAGCACTGAACATCATGACCTGCTTCTCGTGAGGGGTCATGCGAAAAATTTCCTGGACATCCCGACGCATGTCTACAAGAAAAAGGAAAAGAGTTATAGGAGGAAAAAAGCCTGTGTCGTAAACAAAACCCAGAAATAGGCTTCCCAGTGAGGTGAAGACTGATGTAAATGACTAAGCAAGAGTCGTTTCAAGGAAAGACTTGGCCTCAGGTCTCTATTTTCTCCAACCCTCATAAAATCAAATCCATAGTAATAACACAATGGAAAAAGCAATGAATTTGGAATAAAGATTTGGGATCAGATTCCAGCTGTGTGTTTTAACCAGGCAAGAAGTACAATGACGGATTGGGGGAGGGGGGGTTATCACTTTGAGCAGTAAACAATATAACTACTGCACTGTGTTGTACACCTTAAACTAATTTTTAAAAATAATTCAATTTAAAAAATAAATGAAATAAAATTTTAAAAGTACAATGAAACCCCAAAGCCCACAGCTGTGACATGGGGATCAAGCCCGCTGCAGAGGTGCCCAAGGATAAGACCTTTGAAAAACACTTTACAGGGCCCTTCTGCCTCCTCCTCTCCCGCCATGCCCCAGCTGTCAGAGTCCATTCCATGCTTCCTCTGGATCACACTTTTCTACCCAATCAGGGAAATATGACATCTCTATCTGGAGCCCAACTTATAGCTCACTGTCTACAACAACCCGAGATCTTTTGGAATGACTTGTCCCTGGGGCTACGTCCATGCCCGCTCTCTTTCACCAAAGTTGAGTTCTTACAGAAAATTTTCCTCACCCCACGTAGCACACTACAATACTATGTCATGAACTCCCAGCCACACTCTCCCCATTAGTCCTAGAGCAGACGCCTGCAGATGTATTCAGCTACAAATTCTCATGATATACACTGTGATGAGGATGGTGGAAGGGCAGGCCATCTTCTCCTTCAATTTAGTGTTCCCCTAACGCCACCCAGTACAGGGATCTATAAAGGAAAAGGGTGGTGGTGTAACTGATGTCTGACATCAGCAGAGTCCCTCCTCTCAAAGATAAACACCTAGCACAGAAAGCAGAACACCACACCCTTCTCCCTGCGCACCAGAGCTGCTTCCAAAGCACAACCAGACGGAGCAGGGAAGCCAGAGCCATCAGTCATGGGTGATAGATTAAGAGTCTTCCTGGCACAAAAGTGCTCCTGTATGAAATAAACATCATTTGGCTCCAAAAGGCAACTCCCAGATCACCAGCCCACCCAGCACTGCCACTCACCGAGCTGTTCAAGCATCTTATCACATTCATCCAAAATAAAGTGTTTAATGTGTTTGAGGTTGAGGCTCTTATTTCGAGCCAGGGCCAGGATGCGGCCAGGGGTCCCCACGACAATATGCGGGCAGTTCTTCTTCAGCACCTCTTCATCCTTCTTGATAGACAGACCACCAAAAAACACGGCAACCTGCCAACCAGGGGAAAAGTGTCTCTCAGTGAAGCAGTGATCCCAATCTCCCCACAGTTCCCATCCTTTCAGCTGATCTAAGCCAATTCTTAGAACATTTCAGAGCTAAAAAGAACATCAGAGATCACCTAATCTAAAATTATTATATCCCCAAATACTGAAGCTAGGAAACAAACAAGACTTGCCTAAAGTTACATAGCTAATCTGGGCAGTCAGTTCTTCTGACTTAATCTAACAATGTTCCTTCCCATGACTCTAAGGCCAGGCTTCATTGTAAGAATGAGAAGAGCAAGAAATCACCGGAGTGTCAAGTACTGCAAAAAAGTTCATGGAACATCAAGTTTTCCTAACTCATCCCAGATTTTTAAACTCCTCTGCACAAACCCTATGACGTCACTGATTCAGGCTAAACGTATCACTCTATGTTAAAACCATTAGGGGAATAGTTGTTGGGGATCTGACTTAGTTCAGAATCAAATAACACCAAAAACTGCTTTCTAGTTTCAAGGAGTGGTGGTGGTGGTGGGGGGGGGGGAGATCAATCAAGGGATATATATACACAACGTGTTAAAAAGCAAGGCAAACTAAAGTTTGTCCAATTTTAGAATATAGCAAGCATCTCTGAAGTTATAATGCAAATCCAAATAAGCCCTAGAACATATATCTCTCGTACACACAAGTCTGCAGAAACTTACTGCCTATTATTACATTCAGTGAGGTTCGTGTGTAGGTATTTAACATCTGGGGGACATGAAGGTTGCTAGTCTACACGTCTCCAACTCCCCACACCTGCGGACTCTCCCAGGTCTCTCTACCCTGGCTTACCTTGACATTGGGCATGTACTTAGAGAAGCGCTCATACTCCTTGCTGATCTGAAAAGCCAATTCCCGAGTGTGACACATCACCAGCACAGACACCTTGGGGAAGTAGATAGAAACAGATAGGATATCCTCCATTCATTATCCCCTCTGGGGAAGATTGTCAAAAAAGCACACCTGGCAGATCATAAAGGGCTTCAATTCTGAGGCCTAAATCATTAACCCCAGGAGTACTATGAGATATTCCCCATGGTCCTAAATCAGGGATGATAGAGGTCATCTTAGCAACATGCACTCACAGCTCTGAGCACATCATGTAGCTGAGTCAAAAACACCCTGCCCAAACATTCCTAACCACAATGCCCTCCCAGCAGTCTCCCCAACTGTACCTGCCCAGTAACTGGCTCCAGCTGTTGCAGTGTGGCCAGCACAAACACCGCTGTCTTTCCCATGCCTGACTTGGCTTGGCAGAGGACGTCCATTCCCAGAATAGCCTGAGGGATACACTCATGCTGGACTAAAAAGCAGGGGAAAAAAAGATAAATTAGGCTTCAGTCTCCAGACAACCTTTTTCACCACACCAAACCCCTTTCTCAACACTCAATTCTTGAGTGGTTCTTGTCAACTTCCAGACTCTCTATACCTCTGCTCCCTCAATCAATTAAATTCATCTCCAAATCAAGCCCTCCTAGTTCCTTCTAGCTTTAGCCTCCTCCAGCTCCAGCCCCTGCCCCCCCAGTTGCTTGCACCTACCAACAGCTCACCTTTGGTGCTCTTGACTGCCCCTATTTTCTTTAATCTTAAACAACCCACGACATGTTGAGTGTCTGCCACAGGCCATTTCTCCTACATAGGTTGCCATCACATAATCCTACAACCTTGGACTAAATGAAAGACCCGGTTCCTGACCCAGAAGCCAGCCATCTTTAGACCAGCAATCAAGTTTTCCAGGGACCAGAACTGGCCTGGCACAAAAGAGGACTAAAGGCGCAACGCGCTCCTCTCCAGGAATTTAAAATCACGAGTCAAAGTGACAAAACTAAACATGCAGAAAAGGAGAAAAGCCAGTCACAAGAACAAATGGCAGACCTTTCAGTTGCTTTTGGATCACTAGCACTTTCATGCTGTCATGAATAAATGACCAGCCTATATAAGCCTCTTCTTTCACTAAAATAACTTCTGGTACTTCCTTATTTTCTTGTCTATCCTAAATATAAACCTGTGCCACTGAAGACCCATGAACATATGTTTCTAGTATCTTTAGAGCACCTAATGAGTACTCTATGCCCAAGAGAAAATTTACCTTCTGATGGATGCTCAAAGCCACAGTCAACAATGGCCCGGAGCAACTCTGGCTTGAGAAGGAAGTCACGAAAGCCAGAGCTATGGATGGAGACATAGGAGCCCTTAACATCCTTCTTGGCAGGGGCCTCAGCCCCGTCTCCCCCAGCTGCTGTCTCCACCTCATCATCTTCATAGTCCAAGAGCTCATTGTCCACATCGTTCTCTGCCATAGCTGAGCCGGCAGGGGGAGAAGGGGAGGGGTCTCTGGATGGGTTCACGCAGAATAAGTGAAAACCAGGAAGGAAAACGGGGGCTTGAAAATAGAAGAGACACACTAATTTCTGACAGAAGAGCTAAGGGAAAAAAAAACACATAAAAAGACTTGTCAGTCATGAGCAAAGCCTTCACCACCTCTTTTCCATCCCCCTATCCCTCCTACTTTCCCTAAACTATGAGACCTTTATCTGGAAATAAAAGTAACAAAAAAACGCAAAACATAAAAGCAAAGTTAATACCGGAAGTAGGAAAAGTGGTTCCAAAGGAGGTGGTTAGGACACAGGTTCCCAACAAGATCAGACCCAGAACAGGAGAAACCAGGAAGTTGGAAGGGAAAGACCAGCTTATAAATTCTGATCTGTAAGTAACAATAGTGAGGAAAAAGAATAATGACAAGCAAAATATTACCAAAGATTTAAAAGAGTGGAGAATAATGATAAGATGAACACAAATCCTGAAAAATCCTCAAAGGAAGACCTGTGCTTTCCCTGTAATTTCAAGGTGTCAACCCCTAACATAGCAGCCATCAGTCAAGGGTGATAGATTAAAGTCATCACTGCGCAGCGCTCACTTGTCAAAATGAAAACATCATGTGGCTGCCATTCACCTCCCACAGCTCACCTGCCTCCCACTCCTAACCTCGTTCTGGGGCTTAAGGAATCTGTGTAATCAATGGCGGGGCGGGGAAAGAGAAATGGCTCAGTTGTTAAAAAGTATTCAGCAACTACTAACTGGAAGATCGTTCCGGCTTTAACAGAGTATTTACCAAATGGCCTCACGTCATCACCGCGTTACTCCTCAGGTAAGACTCCCTTCCAAACACACACACACTGACATGATTCGAAAACATTTGAAATGCTCTCCAAATAGAGGTGGGCAAGGCGAGGTACGAAAAGTCCAACTAGGCCCATAAACCGACTCTTCCTAGTCCGAGGCCGAGAGGACCCAAAAATGAACGTAGGTAATAAAAGGCCCGCCCTCCGCAAACGCCCAGGACCAGAGGATGCCTAGCGCCGCCTCTCATCGTCTGTAGGGCCTCCAGTAAACGAGGAGCCCACCGGAGGAACCAAGAGCAAAAGGAACACAATGGCGCCGAAGCCACCATCTTGTATTGGGCCCCTTTAGCTTCCCTATCTCCCCCCAGGAGCTCTTAGCTCTCGAAAGGGATGATGGTGATGAAAATAACGACCCAACTAGGCCCCAGCGACCAAACCATAGCCTGTGGAAGGGATATCAGGGGCCCATGCGATAGGATGGTTTCAGAGAAACGCAGATGGAAATGGATGGTACCAAAGGCCAAACCTTACCTGAGCAAGGCGAACGCGTATGGCGGCAGCAACAGCGACGAAGGAGGGAACTCTGCCTTCACTTCCGGTTTCCGACTTCCCTCTACCCCTGCCTCCCGCCCGCTTGATTGACAGCGCGCATGCGCAAGGAACAGGCAGAAAGACCTTCCACAGTTCTGTAGTAACGCGCACTCCGGGGCTGCCTTTGAAAAATGCCTTTCTGAAATTGTTTTTTAATTCCAAATTCCAAATCCTCCACTACTGTCAGAAACAAAAGGCATAAAGGAAATTGGCATCCCCTTGCACTGATGTCTTTATTCTTTTGTCCTGCTCTTCTCCACGCCCCTCACCTCTTCGTTCATGTTCTTGCCACGCAGGTCTTATCTTTGGGCAACCCTAAGGGGAGGGACGAGGCTGGAGGGGGCTGCGAGTTCCCACGGGGTCCTTCGCCCGGTAGTCAAGGTGACCTGGGGGCGTCCGCTCTGGAACTAGGGAACGTCCCGCCCCAGCTGAGGGAAAGGAGTAATCGGTCCTGGGGGTCCTGCCCTTACCCTTTTCCCAGCTGTGGTGCCCGTGGCCTGGCATTTTCCTAAAAATAATGTTGGCCGATGTAGCAGATGCCCCAAGGGCACTAAGCTGGTGGGCAGGGGCTGCGACTCACGGTGTTCTGAATCCACTGAGTGGGAGACGGGGTCTAGATTCTGCTTTAAGTGTTAAGTGATAGGGCTTGAGGGTTATGCAACATTCCATAGATATTGTTAATGCGACCAGAATGTTCTTAGCCCCGTTCCCAACAACCCCATTGTTCAATTCGGATTTTTTCCTGAATGAGACATTTGATATCCCCGTCTTTGATATGCTACATAAGTCAGACCTGATGTCTGCTGCTTAATAAAAATGACAACAAACGTTTGGCCCTTTGCCTGTTATCACACTTAACCACTTAACACTAAGGAGTGGGTACCATTATTCCCATTCAATAGACAAGCACAGACTTAGAGAATAAAGCAACATGTCCAAAGTAATACAGCTAATAAATTGACAGAGCCAAGATGTAAACCCCTCTTATTCTCTATTGTATCCTGCCTCTCTGCTTAGATTCTGGTTAATAAATGCACCACGAATATTGGTCCAAGTCCTTGGGGAAGCAGGCTTGTTTTCTGTGGCCAAGAGAAATACTCTATGTGATCCCAGGATGGTGTCAGAGAAGGGCAGCTTTTCCACCCCTAAGTATTGATTTATTCAACAGTATTTATCCTCCCTACCCTGCCCCAAATACTATCCTAGGATCTGGGGACACAGCAATGAACAGCCCTGTCATCACAGAGTTCACATAACAGAGGAGACAACACACAAACATAAATATGTCAAGTAGTAATAAGTGCTATGAAGAAAAACAAAGGTGATAATGGAGAAAAACTCCAATAAGCATTGCTAATACAGTCATTTCAAATAGAGTGGGAGACGACTGAGAAAGGGGCCATCCCTGCTTCAGTTCTCAGAGCTGCTATTAAGTTGCTAACTCAGCTCAAGGCTGAGTCATAAACATCCTGAAACAATAATTGCTGCATTGACACATTTGGACTTGACCTCCTCCTTATAGTTTTCACCTTCATTCACATATTGGAACTAACCAATCCCTGTTAACTTAGCCAGCAATCCTTCATTTGCGTGGAAGAATTGCACTTTGTGGTTTTTGCCTTTATAAAACCTACCTTTCTTTGGTCTCTCAGAAAGCAGTTTGAGTTGTTACCTGAATCTGCATCTATCAGAGTGGGAGTGCAGTCCTTTTGCTCAAAAAAAAAAAAAAGCCTTTTGTTCTTTATTACAGCCTGAGCCTCTTCTTTGATTAACAAAAGTAAGGGACAGAGTGCTTGTTCCCACACCCCAGCTTCTCTGTACAGCTGCAATCTATAGTCCTCAAGTTCCCAAACCAGGAATCACTATGTGTCTCACTTTCAAGAAATAATAACATATCATTTGCTGTTTCTACAAGTTGCAAAGGACAGTCATTTTGGGTACAAATAAGACACAAGAGAGTGACTGAAAATGAGAACTAAGGAAGGAAAAGGAGGCTGCTTCAACCCATCAAGTGATTTGCCCATAGTGATTTTATTGACACTTTCTTATTGTTACAAAGGAAATCCATGCAAATAAGGGAACACAGCATCACTTCACATCTCAGGAAGCAGCAACCATCTGATGGATCTTTGGGGAAATAAGAAAAGGGAGGAATCCAATAAAGAGAAAAACCAGCTTAAGGGACAAAAGAGAGGGTAAGAAATGAAACATCTTCCTGGAATCACAGTAGAGAGGCTAAATGAGATCATCATTTCATTTTTTCAGGGATCATAAGGTGTCTGGGAAAAGAGAGGTGGGAAGAACCAATTCTTCTGAACCAATTACTAGGGTCACAGAATGAATGCATAAAATTAGAGAACCACAGACAGAAGTGAGGAGACAACTGTGTTTAGGCTTTGGCAGGTGGGCAGGGGATGGTAATATCACAGGGTTGCCATTAATTAAATCATAGCTACTACGTGCCAGAAACCATACTAGGCTCTTAATGGACTAATTCCTAATCATTGCAATAACCCTAAAAGGTAGGCATTATTATTCCAGTGTCACAGAGGAGGACACTGAGGCTACCGGTTAAGTAGCTTGTCCTGGTTGCACAGCCAACAAATGGCAGGGTCAGGAGAGGGACCCAAGTCTGCCAGGCTCTGGAGTCAGGATGTTTTCTACATCCCTACTTCTTCATGCTACAAATTTCACAGAGGGATTAGGCAAGGGTGACTTGGGAGCTTACAAGGTCCCATGAAGGTTAAAAAAAAAATAAGGAGATTCAGGTCTGAGTAGGATGCCTATAAATTTCACAGCAGAATTATTGGGTCCTGCCTCCTAGAATTTCTAGGGAATGGAAAGGAGAGGGGGATTTTTACAGTGGGAGGTGATTCTGATTTGGAGACTTCTTTGAGGGAGGGAACTAGCAGGAGGAGTCAGGCCCCAGGGTGGGTCCTAGGCAGCAATCCGGTAGTTGGGGTGGACCTGGGGCCTGACGTCACAGACCATGCCAAGAAGCTGGGCCAGGACACGTTCACGGTTTTTCTGCTGGGAGCTCTGCATGCCCTGCACCTGGTGCCTTGTAGCCTGTTCCACTTCAGCAGACAGGTTCCCCTGGGAGCCCATGGCCTGAGGAGGGGTGGGGGAGAAGGGGGGAGGAAGGGGTGGAAGAGAGAAAGGAAGAAACAGAGAACGAAGGGTCCAGGCATCTGAAGAGAAAGATCCTGGAGCAAGGCCACCCTCATCCCACAGAAATATCCAGACACCAAAGAGAGCAACACAATCCCCTCTCATCTAAGACCTGACATTCAACTTCATCCTAAAACAGACTGTACAATCCCCACCACCTCACCACCTGTGACCATTGAACTCTGCCCTCCACCCCCAATGTCATCATACTCCAGGCTATGGCAATTCTCCTACAAGCTGTACAAGTCCTTCAAAATGCCCAGATTTTCTTACGTATCACAAAGCTTGACCAATGTCATCATCCCCACCAGGATCCCCTTCTGTCCTTTACCACCTTATTTTCTTGTAGAATCACCCTGTACACACCTCACCAGATGCCCCCACCAACTTGCACCCTGGGGTGCCATCCCAACGCTCCCGACTCACCGCCTGCTGCTTGCTCTGGAATTCCTGCTCTCGCTCTCTGCGGTACTGCTCCACTTCCATCTGGGCCTCCTCCTTTGCCTGCTTCAAACGCCGGGCCTTCCCTGGAGGCAAAAGGAGAGGGGGGTGGGGGTGAACCCACACACACAAATGTGATAGTAAGGGTCAGTTCTTTCCAGAAAGTTATTCTGCCTTCTCTCAGCCAACCAGGTGCTAGATTCTAACACCCACCCATTTCTTCCTTCCTATTCAGTACCCCCTGCTCCCCCAGCTCTCTCCCCACCAGTCTTAGGTCTTCCTAAGGACTCAAAACGTTTGCTGTCCACCCACCCCCAATTTTCTTTCCAGACTCCTAAGGGTGGCAGGAGGAAGCTCACTCTTTCTGGCATCTGCCACCTTCTCAGCCGCCCGTTTTTCGGCTTGCAGGAGCTGCTGGATACCCTGGGATTGACTGGCCATTTCTGTTGTTATGGCCGATGCTGTTTCGGATGCTACCAAGGAGTCAAATAGCTCCCACCCCACCCCCCACCGCCTACTGCGCCTCCTTTTCCAGCTCGTTGCTGCAGTCCTCCACTACCCCTGGGTCTTAGTGCTCCCCTTTTCGTTCAGCCTCTTGCACCGGGTGTCTCCCCCAAACTGATCCTCCCAATCAATGATGGCTGGTAGCTGGTCCTCCTCTCCCACCTCTCACTCTGGCAGTGCCCAGAAGGACCGCTTGGGGGCAGCAGAGACCAGGCCCAAAGCTTCCCGCTAAGGGCAAAGCAGGTGCAGGGCTTTCCCAGTGTGACGGTCTAGGAGTCGGGGCAGGGGCGAAGAGAAGAGGAGTATTTGGGAGAGGAGGCATAGAGGGGCTGAGGATGAGGTGAGAAGGTAAGGAAGTCAACAGTGCGTGGTGTGTTGGGAAACGGGTATGCTGGGCTTCTCTGAATTTTTCCAACGTTTCTTCCCCTCCGTTTTCTTTCTCTCGTTTCCATCTCTTTTCTACAATATGTCTTTCCCAAATCCAAATCTCTGCATCTATCTCACTTGCCTTATCCTACGTTTGTTTCCTTCTTTTTATGTCTGCGTTTTTCTCTTTTTTGTTTCCCTGTTCTTGGCATCACTGTGGGTTTTTTTCATTTTCACTGTGATTTTTATCGTGTTCTTATCTTCCCAGTTTTCTCTCTTTCTCACCTTTTCGTCTCCCACTGAACCATTCCTCTCCTCCCAGTTGGGGAGGCGGGAATAACCCTCTTAAATCGCCCTCCTTTCTCCTTGTCCTTGCTTCTGCTCCTTTTCCTCACCTAGCCTCCAGTCTTCCGGTTTCAGACGGAACCTTTATCTTAAGTTTCTTACTTTCCCCGGCGGAGGCCAGACCGCGGAAGCACCACCCCACCCCCGCCCC